AATAATTGATACTCGACTGAGTTTTAAACAACAGGTAGAACATGTTAGCATTAAAGCAACCAGAGTGGGAACAGCCTTATCATGATTAATGCCTAATGTAGGAGACCCAAAACAGAATAGAAGAATATTACTGTCATCCGTTGTCACGTCAGTATTGACTTATGGAGTTTCTATCTGGTCCGATACTCTTAGAATTCGACGTACCGGAAAAGTGCTTTGAAAATTACTAGTGCTTTCCACACAGTTTCCGGCGATGCGGTTTGTGTCATCGCTGGGACGTTGCCTATCAAAGAACTCACTGAAGAAAGAAAAGTTTTATACCAGCGAAAAAAACCACGGCACTGGAAGAACGTCAACATAGCGTGCATCGATGGCAAATGCAGTTGGACTCTGCAACAGCTGGTAGATGACAATATCGACTTATACCACAAATAAGTATTTGGGTGAATCGTAATCATGGTGAGGTAAATTACTACTTGACGCAAATGCTCTCTGGACATGGATGCTTCCGAGCACATCTTCATCGTTTTCGGCATGATGATTATTCGAAATGCCCTTCTTGTCCGGAAATTAATGAAAATGCGGAACATGTATTTTTTGAATGTCCACGTTTCAATTGGCTCAGAAATAATCTGGAAACTATTTTCAAACAGAAACTCCGGCCAGAAAACATAGTAAAAGCAATGCTCACATTTAACATTGCTTGGGATGCGATCGATTCATTTTCGTCTGAGGTTCTCCGAAATCTACGTACGATAGAAAGACAAAGAGCAAACAAAGTTGGAAAATAGAAAAATACATCAAATGTAAAAATTAACAGAAGGAAAAACAAATAGCTATGATCCTCTCTCCGTGTAGTAATGCCTAACGGCGGGTCAACGGGGAAACAGGGGCCAGATGTCGAGGAGGTTTTTAGTTGGTATGGGATTAATTCGAGTCCTACATATCTAAGGACTGTGGCCTGGAAAAACGTAAATATATTTTCCTACCTTAAAAAGAAAAAAAACATACATACATACATGCAATAATAATAATACATACATACCTGCCTGCCTGTATACGCACCACAAACAGGCAAACCAGAAGAGATGAAAAATGACTTGTGGGCTACGTTCTCTGATACCATATCAACAATACCAAAATTTGAAACAATCCTGATTGGAGGCGATCTCAATGGCCACGTTAGAGAAAAAACAAATGGTTTTGACAACGTGCATGGCGGTTTTGGCTATGAAGAACGGAATGAAGTTGGCAACCGCATCTTAGAGTTTGCTGAAAGTCACAGGTTTTGTTTACTGAACACATAATTTAGAAAGAGGTTGGAACATCTCATGACATACAAAAGTGGACCATCAGCAACGCAAATTGATTTCTTCACTGTCAAGCAGCAACACCGAAGGCTATTCAAAAATGTCAAAGTTATACCTGGCGAATTATGTGTCGCCCAACATAGACTTCTTGTAGCAGACCTGGTTGTCGAACTGTCGAATCACAGTGTACAAAATGCAATAGCTGAAAAGAAAGCTGCATACAAGCAATGGAAAAAATCAAAGTCTGTTGATGACCACAAAATTTTTCGTGAAAAGAACAACTATGCAAGACGTCAAGTCGCACTGGTTTGGACAAATCAGTGCGACTTGACGTCACTAAAAACAAAGGTGAACAAATGAAATCTTTGTATCCTGTAGCAAAACAAGCAAAGCGTATGAAAAAAGACATAGTTAGTGCCTCATGTATCAAAAACGACAAAAATGAGATGATTCTTGAACAAGATGAGGTCAAGCTACAGTGGAAAAAAAATTTCAACCGTCTGTTAAATAAAACAAATCCCATCATTGTCGACTTTGACGCTTCACCCATTGAAGGTCCGATTCCAGACATCACTGTAGAGGAGCTTACAAAAGCTCTGAAAGCTATGAAGGATGGAAAGGCAGCAGAGCCTTCTGGACTCACAAATGATATTATCAAAGCATCTGGTACTGCAGGTATCCAAACGTTACTACAACTTTGCCGTGAAATCTGGAGAAATTGCACAATGCCGACTTAATGGAACTATAGCATGACAGTTCCGCTATACAAAGGCAAAGGTGATCCATTGAACAGTTCATCATATCGGGGTAAACGTCTGTTAGAACACTCCCTGAAAATTGTCGAGAAAATCATTGAAAAAAGATTAACATCGTGCCTCACAATCGGAAATTATCAATTTGGTTTCCTAGCGGGGAAATCAACAATTGATGCAATTCACATTCTTTGGCAACTGCAAGAGAAGTACTTCGCAAAGCATCAACAACTATCTCATAATTTTGTAGACTGAAAAAGCGTTTGATCGAGTTCCCCGTGAAGCAACCAGGTAAAGTCTACGTCCAAGACTAAGACTCTCGTCAGCACAACGGTTGGAAACACAGATGCATTTGATATCGGCGTTGGAGTTCACCAAGGCTCGATTCTCAGTCCACTGTTATTTATAACTGTGATGAAAGAAATCACAAAACCGACACGCACTGGTGACATTTGGAATCTAATATATGCTGATCATATCGTTTTAACAGCCACGTCTTAGCAGAATGCAGCACAGAAGTTTGGAGATTGGAACACTTGACTCGCCGATCATGTATTCAAAGTCAACATCAGCAAAACCAAAGCAATGAACACTGGTGAACCCATCCAATCCACAGCTACTGGACGATGGCCTTGTTCAGTTTGTAAAACTGGTGTAGGTAAAAATTCAATCAAGTGTCAGCAGTGTAACCAGTGGTGTCACAAACGTTGTTCAAAAATAATTGGTACTTTAATCTAAAGTGTCCAATTTTGTTTGTCCTGTTTACATCAATCCACAACAACAAATTCGAAATAACAATGTTTTTGAGGCCATTAAGGTAGAAAAAGTCACATCGTTTCAATATCTAAGAAATGTTTTAGATTGTACTGGAACAGCTGAAGCTGCCGTTCGAGCACGCATACGTGCAGCCTGGAATAAATGGCATCTCCTGGCCTCTATATTGATGCGGCGTGATATCGCACTACCACTACGATCAAGACTTTATAAATCTGTGATACGTTCGGTGTTGTTATATGGTGCAGAAACATGACCAATGACATCCAAACTGGAACAACAATTTCAACGAACCGATATGAAAATGCTCCGATGGATGCGACGAATTAGTCTGAAGGACATCATCAAATCTACCGAAATCCTGCGTCGTGCTGGTTTTGATGATATAAAGGACGAATCCCGGCAACACCGTCTGCGGTGGTTTGGTCATGTCAATCGAAGTAGAAACAGTGCCATAACTTCTCTTGCAGATGTTGAAGTACCTGGCACACACCCCACAGACCGTCCAAAGAAGTCCTTGTCGCAAACAATCGAGCAAAACATGAAAGCTCTAAACGTAAATGAAATTGTTGCTGATAACTGGTCACTTAATTTGGCGCAAAAAATTGATGGCAAAGAAAACAACGTCCTTCCTCGGAGGAACTGGATCTTTGGACGCTAAACGAAGATTGATTGGGCTAAAATTTTAAAGGATATTGGCGTTTACGATGAAGAAAAGTGGCATAATTTAACGAAAAATTGTAAAACGTGGTCGTCGCCTATCTAGTAGATTTGATTTAATAGGTGGAGCGTGAGCACCTCCTAGTACCAGCTATTTTTAAAAGCCTACTTTTTTCATAAAATGTATTGTAGAACCGGTTTTGTATGTACTCCAATCTGTACTGGATTGCGATTGGTAGTCTAACTGTGTGGCGACAATCTGTTGAAATTTTTCTTGATGAACATTGCTGTTCAGCTTCACCTTTTGATTCTCCGAGGCTTTTGTTTAGACTTATGTTGTGACAGTTCGACAACCAGGTTTGCCACAAGGAGTCTATGTTGGGCGACACATGATTCGCCAGGTATAACTTTGACATTTTTGAATAGCCTTCGGTGTTGCTGCTTGACAGCGAAGAAATCAATTTGCGTGGCTGATGGTTCACTTTTGTATGTTATGAGATGTTCCAACTTCTTTCTAAAATATGTATTCAGTAAACTAAACCTGTGACTTTCAGCAAACTTAAGGATGCGGTTGCCATCTTCATTCCGTTTTCCATAGCCAAAACCGCCATGCATGTTGTCAAAACCATCAATCAGGATTGTTTTAGATTTTGGTATTGTTAAGATAGTGTCAGAGAACGCAGCCCATAAGTCATTTTTCATCTCTTCTGATTTGCTTGTCTGTGGTGCGTACGCAGAAAAAAATAGTCATCGTTTGCCAATTTATTATAAACTTGTGTTATATTGAGAGTGCTCTTATTTATTATATCTATTTGAGTACACACCTGTTTAGTAAATGATGTAAAAAAATTGTCAATGAAAGCCAGTTACGCTCCTGAATGCTGCCATGCTCAATTTAATTTGTTTGGTTAATGGTTAGAAATTTTGTAATCACTTTATTGATAATTTCTGATTGTCCGATTAAGCTGAAACAGATAAATAAATAAATAAATAATTTATTTGACTTCAAATGAAGGAAAAACAGGATGACTGTGAGGAACTACAAATACATGTAGCTCATCGAGAACAGCCCCTAGAATAATTTTTCTAATCCCTCTACTATAGAAAACAATACAATGTACAAATCTTGTATACATGCTCATTTTCGACGACAATGCATATATTTAATTATATTGATGATTACATTAACAGAATATATTAATATATACTTTGGCCTATAAATTATACCATTGTCATGCAACAATGACGCTATTAGTCTCAGATTTTTTGAAATCAAAAACTTTGGCGAATGAATTTTAAATGACATAAATGCATTTTATTTTTTGATCATCTACAGCCGATATCTGTAAGATTTAGGTTTTTTTAATCACTAGCAACCATTGAGTAAAAAAATACACAAATGTTATTATCTTACTTTTATTACCGTAGTTTTAACAAAAATCTTTCTTTTTTACTTGCTTTTTTATTTTCGAAAATGGTATAAATTAAAAGATATTAATTTCAGACAATCGAAGACTGGAAATATATGGCATTAGTCATAGACAGAATTTTCCTCTGGATTTATTCATTGGTTTGCTTATCTGGAACATTAATCATCATTTGCCAAGCTCCCATGCTCTATGATACACGAGTTCCTGTTATATTCAGTTGAACATTTTTTAATTACTGACGACAGTTTAAAATATCAATAACATTGTTTCAAAGTATTCATAAGCCTGAATGAATGAATACATATTGATATACAGTAATGATCACATATCGATATACAGGCTTCGCAAAATAACTTGTATTGTTTATTAGTTTTTATAAGTAGGCAATAGTTATAGTTTTTTAAATAATTTTTGTATAATAAATAACATAATTTCCTATGATTTTTATAGATAAATTTAATTTATAAATCACTAAATTTCATTTACCGTTTCTATATTCACAGAATCTTTGAAAATTTAGTTTAAATTCACAAATTTTATTTCAGCTTAACTGAATATCATATTATTATAACTGTCTCGGTCAATGACGATTTCGTTTAATCCCAGTGAAAAATAAAGACAATACAACTTTCAAATTATCGATTTAATTATTTACAAAACAATAATTAATTAATTAATTAATAATCGACGTTAATCTTTACTAACAAAAGTTAATGTTCACAAATTATCAAATTAACGTTCAGAATCTATCGCTTCCGAAAAACAATTCACTAACGTTTATAACAAATACAATAAAAATACAGTCAAATATCAAATATCGCTTTCGACACTCAATGGCTTCCAACATCAAATATTCAACAACTGCCATTCAATATCTCGCATGTCTTTATACACCCATCTTACCGACGCTTCTCGAACGTCCTAGATATCTCGCTGTCAGAAGGTTCTAGTTCCTCCTCGAGCTGTATGCGTTTGTAGTGACACTAACTCCTTTAGCGAATATATTTGTGACGGTTATAACACTGCCCCCAGTTCAGTTAGTCCCGAACATATTCGTTGCAACGTTTGCATAGAATGGAGCCAGTCTGTCCAAACAAACAATTTTCATTATGGCCGGCGATTTTCAATTCGGTAGACGATGTCGTTCAATCGGGTTATGATCTGATAAGGTTCTTCCCAATCTCCTTAAAGCTTTTGAGACCGTCCGTTTTTCCGATGATGGTTATACAACTATACCAAATCATTGGCGTTAAATCCAGCAGTGTTTCCCTTTTGATCGTACGGGTCTTGGTTGTTTCAATATTCTTTTTTAACTTCAGGCGCGTGTATTGGTGGATGCTGTTTAACAGCTGACAGAGATTGTCCACATAATCTGATTGATTGTGGGGCCTTAGGTGGTACGTCATATTTTATATCCGCTGGGTTTCATATTTTACTTCCAAAAAGGACCTTTGAGGGAGCCTCCCCAGTAGGATGTGTGGATGGCATTTTGATATGCCATGAGGAACAGTGGTATTCGTCGATCCAAGTCTTTTTGGTTTTCGTCAACTATTTTGGCCAAATTTTCAGCTAGTGTTTGCTTGAAACGTTCCACCATCCTATCCGACTGAGAATAGAGATAAGTTGTTCCTGTCTTCTTTATATCTAGTAATTGACATAGCTCACCAAACAGTTGCTACTCGAAGTTTCGACCTTGGTCTGAATGCAGCTCCATGGAAACACCATACCGACTGATCAAGTTCATTACGATCTCTTCAGCGACGGTACAAGCCTTCTGATTTGGTATCGGATATATTTCCGGCCACTTGCTAAAACAGTCCGCTACAACGGTTTCCATCATTTGATTCAGAATATGGTCCGGCAACGACGATAGCAATTTTTTCAAAGAGCACACCAATATTATAGATTTGCATTTTTTCTCTTAATTTTCTTTTGGGATCTTTCACTGCTGCGCACCTACTACATTTTCGACACCGACTTTCGACATCTTCTTGAGCGTTAACCCAGTAGAACTTTTTACGTATTCTGTCAAGCGTCTCATTAACTTCAAGATGTCCTCCTGATGAGCCACCATGGATTTCTATAAAAATTTCTGTTACAAAATTGTAGTAGTTCTAAATTATAGCTAGTTCCACAATATTGATAGAATAAATGAAGAATTTAATTTATATAAAACAAAATAATCAAATTGAGACTCAATTTTTAATTTGTCAATAAATCTATAAAATTAAAAGTTTATCTAACTAGTTTTGATTTCAGTTTTGATGCAATAGTTTCTACAGAAACCTGATTAAATAATGGTAATGAAAATTCAATTGAGATAGAGGGATTTAATTTGGTTGGTAAAAAGCGGTCAGGTAGACAAGGGGTTGGAGTTGGCCTTTTTGTAAATAAACATGTTACATTTAGAATAAGAAATGATTTGATAATTTTAAATAATTTTGATTTTTTTGCAATAGAAATTGAATATATTTTGTCTACAAATAGCTCAATTATTTTCGTTACGTATCGACCACTACACTACAATATAAAAAAGTATTCGAAACATTTAATTAACATTAATAATGAAAATAATTTAGATAATCTAGCTGGAGACATCAATATTTATCTTCTCCGCAACACCGAACCTAACAGTACTCAGTTTCAAAATTTAATGATATCATATAATTTAAAAGTACTGATTAACCAGCCTACACGAATAAATGTACATAAAAATTCTGATTGTCAATATTTTTACAAATGTGACAGACATGTACGTTAGTGTTCGGGTGCAGACATGGCATTTTAAAAAGGCATCGATATTTTCCGAATGACCTAAATAAGATAATAGAGGAATAAAAAACCGAGGTAAACAAACGGATCAAAGAGTTGGAACAAGAAATGAATACGATAAAGAGAGAAATGGAAACGAAAAAAAGAAACACCGGACGCGGTCACGCCCCAGCCAAGGCAATAAAAGCACCGACATTTGACCGAACGGTACCTTGGAAAAATTATCAAACATGGTTTGAAACAGCAGCGCTCAACAACGGGTGGAACAAAAAGGACCGAGCAACGACACTAGTGCTTGCCCTTAGAGGTCCAGCACTAGAAGTATTACAGTCAATTCCTGTCAGCCAATATCCAGAATATCCAGGCCATCACCAGCGCGCTGAACCTTCGCTACGGAAACAAATACAACACGAGATATTTCCATACACAGTTGGAACACCGCGTTCAAAAGTCTGGGGAATCAACCCAGTTAGCCCAAGATATTGAAAAGTTGACGCTGCTGGCATACCCAACAGTCTCCCTAGAAGTCAGGAATAGTATGGCGACAAGATTTATACATGCCCTACGAAATCAAGACACAAGGTATCAACTAATCTCCTCAGAAATCGAAACGCTCAAGAAAATCCTAGAGCTGTACACAAGACTAGAGTTGACAAAATTAACGCGTAAAAATGAACCCAGAGTGAGACGAATTTATCAGGTAACAAGAACAGCCAAAAAGAAAAGGGAATCGGAATGCTGGAACTGCGGATAAATGAGTCACTTGAAAAGAGGCTGCAAGCAGCCCAAAAAATACAATATTTGGAGGACGGGCTGGGAAAAAGGAAGAACTCCGCCAGCGGATGGACTATGTCTGCGGAAACACGCGAGCCAAGACGAAACAGAATAAGGAAAACATCAAACTTAGATACAATGCTAAAGGCAAAAACGCCGGTTTCCAGAGTAATGACATTGTTTGGTTATATTATTATTATTATTATTCAAAACAGCACGGGCGGAACCCCTTGCCAAACAAAAATATAGAAATTCGAAAATATAACCATACATAAATAAAATAGGTAATGTATATAATAAACTTATCTTATATATATAAATAATAATACACAAGTCAACACAACAAAATAAAACACACATAATTAATTAAAGTGTAAAAGATGATAACTATTGAATGTATATAGTGTAAAAGAAACAATTATGAATTCAAACGCCAATCAAATATGGAGTCACCAAAAAATGAATCTAATAATGATTTTAAAATGTTAATGTTATCAGCGTTGACGGCATCAGAAGGAAGCCTGTTCCAGTCGTCTACCACACGGTATGAGAAGCAAAATTTACGACAATCTTTATGACATGGTCCTGTAGTCAGTTTCCAGTTGTGTCCTCTCGTACGATCGTCGGACGAAAATAGTAGCGTTGGACTAGCCTTGACAGAAACCTCGCCACGTAACATTTTGAACAGCAAAATGAGATCCGCTCTGCGACGACGGTACGCGAGTGAAGGCAGCTTAAGTTTCTTTAATCTGTCAATATAAGGAAGAGACCTACAGGAATTAACCAAACGTGTTGCTCTTTTTTGGATTTTTTCAATTTCTAAAATTAAACCAATTTTGCAAGGTTTCCATGCTTGAACACCATATTCCAACTGAGACCTCACCAACGACTTATACAACAAGACAAAAGCTACTTCTGATAAATTCTTGAAGTTTCTAGCAACAATCCCCAACATGGAGTTAGCTTTATGAACAATTTTCAAGATTTGGCTTTTGAACCTAAGCTTGGCATCAAAGATCACTCCGAGGTCTGATATCTCATCAACCTCTGGCAAACGAAAAGGCAGTCCGTTGCAGTCTACAATAGTGAATGGTGTACCTAAATTGTTGCAGCCAAACCTTAACATTTGGCATTTTTTGACATTTATATTTAACTTCCATTTACTAAACCAATCAACCATTTTTATAATATCCTGAGAAAAGATGATTTTATCTTCGTCACTTTTTATTACCTTGAAAATTTTTGAGTCGTCTGCAAATAGCAGAACATTGCCACAAACAGAGGATAAATCGTTTATATAAACTAGAAACAATAGCGGACTCAGAACCCCACCTTGGGGAACCCCACTTAAAACCGGTCTCTGATCCGATAAAGTACCATCAAGCTTTACCTGAAACGACCTACCACTGATATAGTTCTGAATCCAATTTAGTAGCTTGTTGTTAATACCGTACTGTTTGAGCTTGAATAGTAACCGGCTGTGTGAAACCTTGTCAAACGCTTTTTCAAGATCCATATAAACCACATCAACCTCATAACCATGATCCAATCCCTCAGTAATGATCTCCAAAAACCCCAAAAGTTGCAAGACTGCTGAACGACCTGGTATAAATCCAAACTGGCCATTGGAAAATAAATCATTCTCCATGAAATAATTCATAATGGGATCTTTTATCATAGATTCCAGAATCTTGCAACAAATTGAAGTTAATGCGATCGGACGATAATTTTGAGCCAGATCCTTACGGCCTTTTTTATGAAGAGGAACGACATGACTAAGCTTCCAATCCTGCAGCAAAATGCCTTCATCAACTGAACGATGGAATAGTCTACTTAAATGGGAGCAGATTGACTTCCTTAATTCCCATAGAACTCGTGGGTGTATATCATCCGGACCTGCTGATTTGCCTGTATTTAGCTTTTCAAGTTTTGATAATACCATGCTTTCGTCAATAAGCAAATCAGCCATTGGGGATAATACATCAGTGGAGTCAAAATAAAAAGAAGTATCATTATCATCAAAAGAAGTATCCTCTCTGTACACAGAGTAGAAGAAGTTAGCAAATACATCAGCTTTCATCTTAAAATCAGTTACCACCCTTCCATCCTCAGTCAATGGACTAGCAACCTCATCACATCTGGTTACTTTTTTCACGTGATTCCAAAACAGTTTAGGATTGGTTTTATATGCACGAGCAATTTTTTCTTGCAACTGCAATTTCATCAACTTTGTATGTTTTTTAATTTTGTCTCTGATTGTTCGGAATTCTTAAATTTTATCTTCTCCATATCTATAAATCAACCTCCAAATTACATGCTTTTGCTTTATCAAAACTTTCAAATCATTGGTCATTTTAAATTTGAAATCAACGTTTCTTCTTTTTTTGGAACAAATTCATTTGTACCACAACTCAGTTTATCTTTAAAAATCTTCCAGTCATCCTCGACATTTCTATCCTCTGCAAACACATCAATCACTGATGGTAACTGAGCCGACTTCAAACCATTGTAATCGCCTAGATCGAAGCAAAACTTTTTCAAGTTCATATCTGTTAAACGTCCAAAACCAGCAATCATAAATTCAACCACAGAGTGATAACTGCTTCCAAGAGGTGAATAAAATTTCACGTTTTTAACAAAATCTTGTGATGAAATCACTAAATCCAATATATTTGCAGACTGACCAAATCTAAATCTTGTTGGCTGGTTAATGTGTTGTAACAAAAATTTATTTTTAAGGATATCTAAAAAGTTGTTTTTAAATTTCTCTTCACCTCCACTGCAGCTGTATGTATCCCAGTCTATTTCAGGTAAATTGAAATCCCCAAACATTAAAAAATCACCTGGCAATGCTAGACCATCATTAATCAGTGTTAATAGATGAATGTTATTTTCAACACTGGATGTGGGGCTTCTGTATACAAACAGAATATTCAAAAATCTACCAGAAATGCAAACCTTCACTGTCAAAGTTTTCTGTTGTTACTTCTTTCTTCCTTGGAAAGATCATGATTGACGATTACTTTGTTAAAAATTGCTGATTTTTTGAGTTTATAACAATTTGCAAGCAGCAAATTTTTGGTATTTATGTTTGCAAACTGAATCAAAACTGGTCTAGATTTTTGATCATCTTCCATTTTTCTGCCCAGTCTAGAAATTTCAATTCCCTCTGTTTCTAAATCAATCTCTGATATTTCTTTCAATAAATTTTTAACAACCTCTTTCGTCTTAACCCCTTTTTCTTGCAAATTATATAGGATTACATTATTTCTCCTCTTTTCTCTGTCATTTAGAAATTCAATTTTAGATGAGGTTAGATGAGGTATCAACAATTGTTTTTTGTACCTGTTTGACATCTAATGACAACTTATCAACTTTTCCTTTAACCGCATCTGAATATTTTTTTATTTTCTGCTCATTCTGTTCAACTCTTGTCTTGGCAACTTTTTCTTTCTCCTCCAGAATCTTCATGGAAGAGTATGAAAAATTATCCATCTTCATCCTAAATTCATTGAAATTACTATTTTGTAGGCCAATGGCATCTTCCAAGGACTTCAGTTTAGAGATGATAACTTGAGTCTGGGTTGACAACTCAGCATTCAAAGATGCCAGATTTGTTGCTAAATTTAAATTTAGATTTCCTGGTTTTTCCTTTATAACAAGCTGGTGCAGTTTATCTTTGTTGCATTGAAGACCTTCAGCACAAAGCTTCAATCCGAAATCTTCCGTGGTTTTTAATTCCGAACCCATTTCTTTAGTCTTTTTTTCTGAACCCATGTAAACAGAACTAAAATTTAATTTATTTAATTAATATAACAGTAAACTTTGTTTAAAATAAGAAATTTAAGCAAAATTTTCAAATTTTCATAACGAGCGAAAATAGCACGACGTAAACCATCAACCCACGATGCAAAAAGAGGCGCTGCCAAAAGCTCCAGAAGGATTGGGAAGAACCGTACCAAGTCATCACCCGGATCAACGATGTAGTGTACCGGATTCAAGAACGAGGTAAGCCTAGGACCAGAATGAAGATCGTACATCTGCATCGGCTAGCCTCATACTCAGGATCAAAAAATCAACGCAGCAAAGAGAATTGACTAAATCGAGAGCGATTTTGGTCTCAGTGGAGGGCAATGTTACAGACGTGAAGCCGAGATAAGAACTAGTAGTTAGAAATTGCGTGAAGCGCTTGCAAATTAATTAGAAGACATAAATAATTAAAACGGTTGTAAAAAAAAGTCATGTGACACGGCATGTGACACATTTACTTGCAGATTGGTAGCTATATAAAAAACGCCAAGACAAACACAAGAGAGAAAGAGACAGAACAGAAAGACACAAAGCTAGGACAAACACACAAGAAGGAGGAAAACAGGTAAGAAGTAAGCATCTGCGTTTCACAAGTAACTCAAAACTGTACAAGACGTTCGAGACACGAATGTCGTCTCGTTTCAAACGAGACGATACGAGACGCCGCAAAAATAACGAGGAATAACGATACGAGACCGAGATCTCAAATCAAATTTTAAAAAATAAACATTTTTTCAAGTCTCAATAATGAACTTGCTTCAATGAATTATACAAAATAACAAAAAAAAATCATCATAGATGTGCCTTGTCTGCGTTCTGTATTTGTGGCAATTAATCATCTTTTTCCCTAGATCCATCTTTTTTTTATTGTCACTTTGTCATGGTTTAATTTAATGAAAAGAAGTTTATTTACATTTTCTGGTTGTTTATTCGTTCTTTTATCAGTGACGACCTTTCAGATGTTGCTGAACTGGTTGGAGGACAAAGCAACTTTTTCGCACTTTCTGCCAAAAGCGGAAACTTCTTTTGGTTTGTTTGCCACTAAGTAAGGCATGATTCACTATTTATAACTTTCATATTTTTTAGAAGAGCCGCCTATGCCTCCCACTCCTCTTCTATATTTTATTTTGTCGGTGCTGGTGTATCAATTTGGCACTCTTCAATCTCTTACTGAAACTATTTTTGATACTACCTTATTTTCTGATGCTGATGCTTTTGTCTATGCTTTTAATATTTACATTACTTCTATTCTTGATAAGCTTATTCATCAAATCTTTTACTTATAGATAGGCTTTATTCTCGTAAGGCATCTTGGTTTGATTATGCTTGTGTATTAGACAAGAAAAGTGTTAGAGGACTGGAGAAAGCCTATATATTAAATCCATCTAACTCTTTATTCTATCTATGAATCTGAACTGATTAATTATAAATATCTACTATACTCTAAACACTCTACTTTTCTTAGAAATTCTATAACATCTGCTTCAACATCTAAAAATAGGTGGTCTGCTCTATCTAAACTTCTTCATAAGAAATCCTCTCACTCATCTTTTTCTGCTCAACAGTTTCATGACTTTTTTGTAAATAAAATTACTTCTTTAAAAACATCTCATTCTAATTTTTCTTCTCATAACTTTACTAAACTTACTACTAAATCTTTTTCTGTATTTACTCCAATAAATTTTTTAGAACTTACTAAATTACTATTTCTATGTCGTCTACAACCTGATCTCTAGATCTACTTCTTTCTAATTTACTTGAAGAATTTTCTTCAATATTTTATCCAATCATTCTCAAATTAATTTATCTCTTTCCACCTCCAAATTTCCTATTTCTTATAAGAATTCTATTGTTATCTCTATTCTTAAAAACTCATCCTTAGATCCTACCTCTTTATCTAATTATAGACCTGTTACTTTCATCTCTAAAATAATAGAAAAAGTAGTTTTAAATCAATTGTCATCTAATTTAAACTCTAACTCCTTGCTACCTGTATCTCAATCTGGTTTCAGACCTGCTCACAGTACTGAAACTTCTTTACTCAAAATACACAATGATATCCTTCTCTTTAGTGACAATAGTAATCTTACTCTTCTTCTTGACTTTTCCTCGGCTTTTGATACTGTTGATCATACTATTTTCTTGAGACTGCTACATCTTTTTTGTAATGTTTCTGATTCTTGTCTATCTTGGTTTTCTTCTTATCTCTGTAATCGTTTTTCTTCTGTTGTTCTCAATAATTTTACTTCTAATTCCTCTACTCTTACTTTTGGGGTACCTCAGGGTTCTATCCTTGGCCCTCTTCTATTTATACTCTATACCTCTGAACTACCTCGTTTTATTAATAACTTTTCTTTCTCTAGTCAACTATATGCTGATGATTCTTATATTTATACTTCTTTTCCTCCATCTAATCTCAATAGCGTTCTTCATAATCTATTTCTGTCTTTCTTCAATTATCGCTTGGTCTGACTCTATGGGTCTTAAACTTAATCCTTCTAAGTTTGAATTATATTGTTTTAATAAATCTAAACACTCTATTACTATTTCTCCTATTATCTTACCTGATTCTAAAACTCTTGATGTCTCTCATAAGTTTCGTAGTCTAGGTTTTATCTTTGATTCTACTATGTCTCTCTCTTCTCAGATTAGTAGTGTTGCTAGAAGCTCTTACTTTCATCTACATAGAATAAAAAAACTTTTGTCTTTTCCTGATGATCTTACTCTTCTTGTTACTTCGTTAGTCTTATCTAGGATTTATTATTGCAACTCGCTCTACTATGGTCTTCCTGACTCTATGATGATGATGAATAGCCATTTAGTCGAAGTCGACTTTCGGCCACTTTATGGATCTGTCTTCTCCATGCGTTCCTGTCTTCGACAATTATTTTAAGTTCTGAGATCGTCATTTTGTTGGCCGATGTGATTGTATCAAGCCAACGTATTCTTTGCCGTCCTTTTCTTCTTGTCCCACTCACTTTACCTAGCATCATTGAAGTTTCCAGCGAATTTGCGCGCATAACATGGACGAAAAAGGAGAGTTGTTGTTTGACGCTTCTTTCCTGACTCTATACTCTATCCTTTAAGAAAAGCTTTTAACTCTGCTGCTCGTCTAGTTACTCGTGCCCCTTTCTATTCTCATATATCTCCATATTTTGTTCTCTTGCACTGGCTACATATAAAATATAGAATAATTTTTTAAATTTGCACGTTCATGTATAAGTCTCAATCTAAATTATTTCCTAAGTATTTATCAGATATATTAATTGAACCCAAACGCCCCGGTTTACGATCGTCTTCTTGTTCTCGCTTTTTCTTAACTCGTGTTAAACGCTCTTTTGCCAAATCTGCTTTTGCTTTTTCTGGTCCTTTTCTCTGGAACTCTCTATCTACTTCTCTGACTACTTCTCCATCACTTGCGAAGTTCAGAGCGGATCTCAAGACCCATCTGTTTTCAAAAGTCATTAAAGATCGCTGTTGAACATCGCGAAAATAGCGCTTTACAAGCTAATTGATTGATTGATTAAAATTTAAAAGTGAAAACGTGAGGACGCTTAATGCATAAATATGTTTAAAAGTGAATTGCTATTAAGACTGTTATTTATTAGAATGTTGATATTAAGGCTTTAACGTAAAATAATGAAAAAAGTTTATAAAAATTAATAAATCATAATGCCTTTTTAACTTTTATCAATTATTTAATAATTTTGTAAGATTAACATAATAGTTTCGGTATTCTTTTAAAGAGAGTTTTTACATTGTAAGCTGTAGGGATCAAACATTCATTTATAAACTATCTCACATATAAATTATTATTAAGGATTATTGCAATTTCAATGTTATTTCATCTATGTTAATTTTTATTGTCTTTGTATCTCTCTCGACTTCTTCCTTTTTTTCCTGATAGCTTGTAAACGAAACGGTTCGAGATTCACGTGGGAATAAAGATAATTTATTACGCCTGAATTGTGTTTGTTTTATTTATTTTAACTCACAACAAGGTGTCTTGTTAGTAGCAGAAGTTCGTACTAACAAAATGGTAACCCCGGACGTGATCTGAACGAAAATCCGACGTGATTTTGAACGAAAATCCGACGTAAAAAAAAATACGAAGATCCACGTGGTAAGATCAAAACGAAAACAATGTTCCAACCGAATAATGACCCGATCGCTATATTACCTCTTTTCAAGAAAACAGCGTCAACAGATTGGTTCAAGTATTCCGAAATGCAATTTCAATTGCGAAACGTGATGTGTAAAACAACAAGATTCTATCACGCAATAATTTCCCTGCCGCTGGATATAGTCTCAAATTTGTCGTAAAAAGTGCAAAGAGGAACAGATTACGACGCTCTAAAAAAAGAGTTATTAGCAACGTTCAAACAAACCAAACCAGAGCAATTCCAAGAAAAAGAATCTTTTAAAATAAACTTGAATCTGATGAATGTAAACAAAATTGAAGAGAAGCAGCCACCAGTAGAGTCTAATAAAATAAAAGTTGTCCTGAGCAAGAACGAAGATAAAAATGACATCCAACAATCACAACAGCAAAATGCTGAGCAGAATGCTACCATCCCATCAGCAAATTCACACATGAACGATTCTCTCCTTCCAGTTCTCTCTCTTCCTTCTCCTGTTCAACAGCAGCAGCAGCAAGATCATCTCAGAAAGAGAAATGCAGAGCATAGTTCATCGTCCTCTCACACATCTCATTCTAGAAATCGTTTGCAGATGGACAGAAAGTTGCATGAGAGGTGGGAAAAAATTTGAACCAGCAACCAAAACGGCAACCGCGTTTTCAGCAACAACGCCATAAGATAAATGTCAACCAAATTATCAGCGACAAAAGCAACATCATTACGAGAAACAAGTTAAACGCCAGCGATATCAGTACCTACAACCACATCTTTAAAGAAGAGTGGAAAAATCAAATTCAAATCAAAAAACAAACATTTTTCCATTTGAATGGCTCCGCCTTTTGCGGGGGAATATTGTGAAAATGAAATATCTCCAGCAAACTTTCTACAACAGATTCAACAAAACCAGCAACATCAGACACAAAATCTACTGGAACACCAGAAACAGCAACAACAACATCAGGAGCAACAACAACACAAGAAACAAGACCGACGTCAACCACATCCGAACCAACAACCCAACACTCCAGAAAAGGGAGGCGAATAACATTCAACAAATGAAATGAATATTTTTATTTTTAAACGGCTCCGCCTTTTGTGGGGGAGTATTGTAGGGGTCTAACATTCATTTATAAACTATCTCACATATAAATTATTATTTAAGATTATTGCAATTTCAATGTTACTTAATCTATGTTAATTTTTATGTCTTTGCTTCTCTCTCGACTTCTTTCCCTTTTTTCCTGATAGCTTGTAAAACGAAACGGTTCGAGATTCACGTGGGAATAAAGATAATTTATTACGCCAGAATTGTGTTTGTTTTATTTATTTTAACTCACAACAAGGTGTCTTGTTAGTAGCATTAGTTCGAAAACCCCACGTGGTTCTTCTGACGTAAATCAAAAGCCTCTCCGTAATAAATTTTTAACATGGCGGAATCAGGATTGAATGATATTGATATGATGTCCATCAAGTTGCCCACCTTTATGGATACAGCATCGACAGGATGGTTCGCAATCGCTGAAGCCCAATTTAACCTCCGAAAAGTAAGTTCATCAGAAACAAAATTTTATTATATTTTATCATCGCTACCGGCAAATTTCAATGTTACTTAATCTATGTTAATTTTTATTGTCTTTGCTTCTCTCTCGACTTCTTCCTTTTTTTCCTGATAGCTTGTAAACGAAACGGCTCGAGATTCACGTGGGAATAAAGTTAATTTATTACGCCTGAATTGTGTTTGTTTTATTTATTTTAACTCACAACAAGTTGTCTTGTTAGTAGCAGAAGTTCGTACTAACAAGTCCTTCAAGTAAACTCACATGCATGCCATTGATATATTGTTATATATAACATTGTTGTATATTATTATTATATATAATATTATATATATCCATAATGCATGCATAGTTATGTGCGTAGGAATTAAAATAAACGTTCAAGCAATTATATTTGCGCGTATTTTAACATGTAATTTGACAGGTAGGCATTAAAATAAACTTCCATGCATTTTTTGCAAGTATTTTACCATGCAATTTAACGGATAAGCATTAAAATAAACACATAGTTAATGATTGCAACAAAAAATTATCAATGTAAATTATTTCGTTAAGGCCTTGCATATAGACATCATCGACTCAAAGTTAGCCATATGTAGAACCAGGAAAGCAAGAGTGTAGCAAGTAAAGGTATTTGATTCTAGGTAAAACTAATGGAGTAACAAGAAATAAGTGAAGACCGGAATCATTTATTTTACAAAGATGAACAAGAAAACTGCTTGATAAATAAAATAAATAAAGTTTTGTTTTCCAAAAAATGTTTGAATTTGCTTTATAATGCTTTATGCGTTCCTCGTGTGACATACAGCAATGTAGTATGGTCGGGTGCTTATACATCAATCACAAATTTAGTCAAAAAGCTTATGAAAAGAGCAATCAGAGTTACCACCTTGTCAACCAAATTTGAGCATGCGCAATCCCTGTTTAAATCAACAAACAATTCTAATTTTGATAAAATATACTTATTCAACACGGCGGTATTTGTGCACAAACAAATTTCAAACCAATTGCCACGTATCTTTAGAAATTACTACACTATCAGCAACAATATTAGAAGGCAAAAGTTTCTCCTATCTTCTAAATAAAAAACAAATAATCTTTTTGGGCCAAGGATATGGAATAGGATTTTACTAAAAGGCTTCTCTAATGAATTACTACAAATATCAGAGTTTAAAAAGGCTATTATAAACACAATAGACTAGTAGTTTAGACAATAATACTTACTCTTTGAAAAATCTCATTAATTTACTCATGATTTTTACAAGTAATCATTTCAATTATAAACATTTACAAATTCGTAAAAGCAGTAAATTGATAAATTAAATAATCATGTAGTATAGAATACATTTTATTTACGAACAATTACGTGTAAAGTATAATTCGAATTTGATTTCTTCTTTCGTGATATGAACTATTTAATTTATTTCAATATTGAACACTTATGCTAGATAGACAATTAAAAATTCGTAAAAGCAGTAAATTGATAAATTGAATAATCATATGGTATCAAATACATTTCATTTACGAACAATTACGTGTAAAGTATGATTCGTATTTGGTTTCTTCTTTCATGATATGAACTATTTAATTTATTTCAATATTGGACACTTGTGCTAGATGAACTTTACTTGCCTCCTTATAATTATTTATATGAGAAGCATAGAAAAATTTGTTTCGCTTCGTATGTTTGCGTATGTGTATATGTATGTACGAGCCCGTAGTTAAAAACAACCGTCATAAAAGTCATCTTTTCGCCCCAGTTCGCTTGTTAGTGTTACTTTATGGGTCTCGCATTTGGCGATATTTTCTAAAATACAAAAAATATATTTTTGTAACATTTTGTAACAATATAAACATTTTGTTTTATATAAATCCTATCATTTGGATTGCCAGATATTTCAACTATTTTTGAGCTTTTATTATCAATAAAAATTGTGTTTCTTTTCTTTATCAATTGGTCCAAACGTTTCAATACATATTGGCAAAAAGAGTTTTGTGTTGTCATTTAAATCTTTATATTTCCTATTTTTAAAATCTGCAGCTTTTATTGCAGACTCAACAGACGTGTGTAGATTATATACCTTTCGGCTAGCTGTGGAGAAATGTCACATTTCACGCCTTACAACAACCACGAGACCACAGAAGTAGAGTGTAACCATCTGGTCTGTTATTGCTTTAAGAGACTAGGCCTGCGGGCTTCTTTACGGCGAGTATGTTAGCTTTCTGAAAAATCATTTATAGCCGTATGTCGTGCCTGTCTGCCAGAACCCAATCTGCACAACAGAACATGATGGCCCAAAGGAGAAACGTTCGGTACCAAATAAACACCTGCATCCAGAAACCACCGGCAATCTAAGTCTAAGACAAAAACTTACTCTGATGGATGCATTGTCTAGTCTTGTACCACACGCGGTACTAGGAGTTGTTCTTATCTAAGCAAAACCGATTTTACTCTTTACAGCCATCGTGAGGCTAAACATTCAGCTTTTCTAATCGAGCAATTGACTTGTTCAAGATGGATCATCTCATTTTTTTATGAACAGGCGTCTATGTCAATTATATTGCCATATATGGAACACCAATAATTAAACATTTCAACCCTCAGGTGTTCTTCGAATACTCCATCGTCCGGCAGCATTTTGGCTTAAAGGGTCGCTGTGGCCCGCGGCTGAAGACAAAAAAGCAGATGGTGCCAAATCAGCCACGACGCTCAAACCTAAACCACCCATACCGACAAGCAAAATTGTCTGACTCCGCTTTTCATCATCAAAAAAAAATCTTGAAAATAGATTGGAGTCCCCATACGGAGTTCACAGTTGAATGAATCTGAAATTTCTTTAGGTGGATTTGGTGATGTCTTTAAAAAATATGAGATCTTTGGATTGGAATAGGTAACAAGCGTCATGCTTATTGATTTTTGTCATCATTGACAAAATATATTTGAATTGGTTTAATTTTTTAACCCAAAATCATCATGGCGTTGGTTTTTGAAAATACTGGCTCCCAAAAATTCAAGGTCGCTTGTTCCGATTTTATTAATATTTTGGGGTAGAGTAAATTTTGTCACTGAGCTAGAGGTTACTTCACATTTATTTATATTTAGCTTAATTCCATAGTGGTGACAATTGTTATTAATAAATTCTATGTCATTGGATAAACTTCTGTTACATCTTCTCTATGCGACGTCATCCAAATATGCTACAACAAATCTCAAACGGAATGATTTAAGCAGGGGATCATTTGCAAATGCAAAAAAAGAGGACCTAGGGGGTCACCTTGTTGCACACCTTCAGCCGATAAAACAGTATTGTTGCCAAACGATAGGAAAGAACTGGCATCAAAAGCCAGCCTGCAAAAATGTATGTATGTATGTATGTATGTATGTATGTATGTATGTATGTATGTATGTATGTATGTATGTATGTATGTATGTATGTATGTATGCAACTGAGTCTCGAGGGAAGACACACTGCTACGTTGATCAGCTGCTATACGCCCACACTGGGAGCATCGGAGGAAGAAAAAGATCGTTTCTATAAACAGCTTAACACACCTGTAAACGCGACGCCCTTTGAACACCAGTTGTTTGTGCTGGGTGACTTCAACGCACGAGTGGGTGTAGATCACGACACATGGCGTGGGGTACTGGGGCGAAATGGGGTTGGTAAAGTGAATTCAAACGGAATCAGGCTTCTTGAGTTCTGCGCGGCTGCAAAAGCTGGCTGTGACAAACACGGTCTTCCAACAGTCCAACAAGCTAAAGACTACATGGATGCACCCACGATCGGCACATTGGCACCTGATCGACTACGTCATCACAAGACAAAGGGACCTACGCAACGTTCGCCTCACAAGAGCGATTCGAGCGACAACTGTATGGTCGGATCATCGTCTTGTCAAAATGTCTATGTTTTTGACGGTCAAGCCAGGTTGGATGTGGCTAAATTGGAGGACAGGTCAACTCAGGAGTCTTTCATTATGCATCGAAATGGCTGAGAATACTGACCTTGATTGGCGACATTTTCAAACGGTCATACAAAAGGTTGCAGAAAATGTGTCGGTCACCGCCGGGGTGGGCATAGAGACTGGTTCGATGAACGAGATACGGAGGCTCGTAGATTGCTGGATGTGGTGCACAAAACACATCTGGCTTGGATTGGATAAACGACAAAAGCAATGATGCAAAAAAGGTAGCCTACTCAAATGCACGAAGTATCTCGCAGAAGGAGCTGCGCAGAATGAAGGAGTCCCGGTGGGCGGCGAGGGCCGCTAACCGTGGTGATATGAGGCTATTTTATAAAAGCCTTAAGATGGTATATGGTCCACGTGACTCGGGAGGTATACCAGTGCGTTCACGTGATGGTACGTCGTTGATTAAGGATGGCCCTGGCATCTTGGCCCGCTGGGCAGAGCATTTCTGCGGGGTGCTAAATCAAAAAACCTTCTTTGATGACTCGGTCTTGTCTGAGCTGCCAGATTGGGAGCCTAATTATGATCTTGAAGTTCCCCCTAGTTTGCAGGAAGTGAATAAAGCAATATCTCGGTTGTCATCTGGAAAGGCGCCGGGTTTGGATGGGTTGCCTGCAGAGCTGTTCAAACATCTCAGGAAGAGATTGGTGGTGCTTTTTGAACGCATGTGGACAGAGTGGTCGGTCTCTCAGGAATTCAAATATGTTCTGATTGTTCACATATTTAAAAGAAAAGGTGATCGATCAAACTGTGACGACCACAGAAAAATCTCTCTGCTCTCCATACCTGGGAAGACACTAGCCAGAGTGATTGCTGAACGCCTGGCGATACATAACAACAATCGAGATATCTTTTCGGAGAGTCAGTGTGGATTTAGAGCTGGACGCAGCACAACCAATATGGTGTTCACTGCGAGGCAACTGCAAGAAAAATGTCGCAAGCAGCAACGAAGACTGTATATGGTTTTTGTTGACCTGACCAAGGCATTTGATTCGGTTGATAGGTCAGCTCTCTGGCGCTGCTTGTCAAAAATTGGTTGCCCCTCTGTTTTTGTTGCCGTTGTTCGTTTCTTCCATGAAGGCATGAAAGCGAGTTTGGTTGAAAACCGACCATTCTTCGCTAGCAATTTCTAACAATAATACAATTAATCTTGATAATAATAAAATTAACCATGTTAATAATAGTAATAGTAATAATAAATGTAACAATATAAATAATATTAACAATGGTGCCAATGATAATAATAACAATAATAATAATAACAATATTAACAATAATATGATCTCAGCTAACTCTATTTCCAATTTTTTGCAACATTGTTTTGATAAATTTCATAAAATCATTATTTCAACTTACAGTAGGTACTACCCAGCATCAAACATCACGATTAGATCACCAGACCCTCCATTTATCAGCACATTCATCAAATTTCTACTTCGCCAAAAAAATAAACTCATGAGATTAGGACCCTCCCTCAAAGCCGCAGCGATCACCAAATACATCAATAAACTTATAATCAACTTCAACTCTAAAACTTTCACTAATAGAAAACGTGGAAGCAAAACCATGTGGTAACAAATCAATAAGATTAGAGGCTCTGAGAAATCACTCAACACATCAACCGTGCAGCATATTGATGCCAACACACTCAACACCCACTTTGCTTCCATGTCAACCGACCAGTCCTACAAAATTCCACCAACAAAAGCTACTACAATCAATAGTCATCAACATCAACAATTTACACCATACTCCGTCCTGCACATGCTAACGAAGGCTTGCCCATCCGGTACAGGTCCAGACGGTCTATCAGCATGGTTTCTACAAATCATCGCTCCATTCATCTCAAGCACCTTATGTTCACTCTACAATCACTGCTTAATTCACTCATTCATCCCATCACAATGGAAATCCAGCACAATCCATCCAATTCCTAAAACAAAACACCCATCATCACCAATAGATTATCACCCAATTTCTATCACGAACATACTCTCACGCATTCTAGGAAAATTCATTATTAGGTTATTCATCTATCCATGTTTCAACCATCCATCCATCAAACCACTACCTGACAACATTTACAATATCATAATTAATTTCCTATCTAATAGGAGTCATTCTACTCTTTTTAGCTCTACTCTTTCATCTACTCTACCTATTAACTCTAGCGTAGTTCAAGGTTCTGTCTTTGGTCCATCTACCTTTATCATCAACGCTTCTACTCTCAAAACTTTTCATAGCTCTAATCAAATCATCAAATACGCTGACGACACTTACCTAATCATCCCATCATCTAACTCAAACACCATCCAATCAGAACTCGACTCATTAATTAAATGGTCAAAACGATGCAACATTTCACTTAATCTCAATAAATCATTCGAACTCATCATTCACAATAGCCGTAAAAAAATAACATTACCTCCTGAACATCCATCAATTACTCGCACAAATCAACTAAAAATATTAGGCATCACATTCACCTCCACACTCCATATAGCACCTCATATCAATTACATCATCGCAAAAGGCTTTCAAACATTTTACGCATGGTCTCAGAGGCATCAAATTATTCGACATCACCGAATCACTCATCATCTCACGCATCAAATATGCAGCTCCCTCCTGGCCTGGTTTTGCCACGCAACAACAACTTCAGCAGCTACAATCTCTCATCAAAAAATTAATTCGCTTCAACTACCTACCTGCATCATATCCTACCGTCACTCAGATATTCAACACACTCGATTCATGGCTGTTCAAAAAAATAGAAAATAACAACAACCACGTCATTCATCCTCTACTTCCACCAATCAAAACTACAACACACAACCTTCGTCAGCGCAAACATAACTATCAAGACGTCGCCCAATCTACATACAAGGAAAAGACTTTCATCACACCGCACCTCAAACATATTAGCACTTAAGAAAACTTTATCATTACTGAACTAGTTTTTACTTATTGATCACCTCACTTTTATCGATCACCTCACTAACTCACTAAGTCATCGTTTAGTCTATTAATAAGTCATCAAACATATTAATACTCATTAAAAATTTTTCACTCACAGGCCTAGTTTTTATTTATCGATCACCTCACTAAGTCATCATCTAGTCTATCAATTTGCCGTTACTTCATTTTATATTCTATCGTCAATTACTTTTCTTTTATTTTTCTTATTATTATTATTTATTTTATTTTAACATATTTTATTTTTCATGTTTTATCATTTCTCTTCCTCACTTTTTGTATTTATTTTCTCACTTATTTGTTTAATTTTGTTTTACAGCCTTGCATGTTGTTACAGTTTCTGCGTCTGTCAGATCCTGATTTTTAAAGAATAATAATAAAAAAAAAATAACAGCTAAGAGATTTGAACTTATAGTCAGCTTGAAGAAAACTGAGGTCTTGCATCAGAGCTACCCAGTTTCGTTGGGGGCAATGACCCATGTGATGGCGGACGACTCGCGTCTCAATTCTGTTGATAGATTTTGTTATCTAGGCGGATATATCTCCAATAATGCAACTATCGATGATGATATTACAGCAGGACTTGCAAAAGCAGGTGCTGCTTTTGGTATGCTGACCGGACGTCTTTGGAAAAAGCACGGAATTACTCTGGCCACCAAAATTGTGGTATACAGAGCAGTTGTGCTCCCTTCACTGCTTTACGGTTGCGAAACCTGGACGTTCTACCGTCGCCACCTTCGTAAGTTCGACCAATTTCATATGAGATGCCTGCGCATGATTGCAGGTATCCGGTGGGAAGACAAGGTCCCAAAAACAGTGGTTCTGACAAACAGCGGTATAATGGGTGTAAAACCGCTGCTGCTTCAAACTCAGTTACGCTGAATAGAACACGTTATACGTATGCCGGATACAAAAATCCCCAAGCAGGTCTTTTTTGATCAGCTGGCGTCGGGAAATAGACTGACAAGTGGCCCTGTACGCAGATACAAAGACAGCCTTAAAGAAAATATAAAATAATGTGGTCTAGATTCCAAGACTCTTTGTATTGATGCTCTGCGACGCTCGGAATGGAGGTCTACCCAGTCGGCGGTTTCCGCTTTTGAACTGGCACACAGAGCTGCCCTTGCTGAAAAAAGGACTCGACGAAAATATACTGCCCAAAACGGCGATAGTACAGGTGTATGGATTTGTAGAACTTGTGCACGGAAATGTTCGTCAAGTATAGGACTTTTCGCTCATTCTAGGACTCACCGATGACCCATTCCTGGAAAAATACTAGCCCGAATCATTCTTAATCGACTAACAGAACACGTGGACAAAGTGAGCGTCCTCCCTGAAAGTCAATGTGGCTTTCGATCCGGACGTGGTACGATGGACATGATTTTCGCAGCTAGACAAATACAGGAGAAGTGCCGTGAGCAACAAAAAAAACTTTTCTTTATCTTCATCGACATGTCAAAAGCGTTTGATACAGTTGACAGGTTTGCACTGTAAAGATGCCTTGAAAAAATCGGCTGCCCTTTAGTCTTTGCAGCCATAATCCGCTTCTTTTTTGACGGTATGAAAGCGAGCGTTTCTGGAAATGGCCAATGCTTTCCAAGCTTCAAGTTGCCGATGGGACAAAACAGGGCTACTTGCTGGCCGCTCTCTTGTTCAATATTTATTTCTCTTTAATGTTATAGGTCGCTTTTCCGATTTGCAATGTGGGTGTTCCAGTTTGTTATCGCATCGATGGAATGTCTTCAACATCAGACGCTTGCAGGTAAAGACTAAAACTTAGACAGCAACCGTTCGTGACCTTCGCTTTGCTGATGACTGCTTTGGTTGTACATTCGTCTCAGGAAGTCCAGTTGCTGTTCAATCGTTTTCATGACACAGCTTTAAGATAAGGATTCGCAATTAGCCTGAAAAAGACAGAAGCCTTATGTCAATCGTATTCTGTGTCTCCAGAGGCAGCGGCCGACGTGATGGCAGATGACGTTTTTATTAATTCTGTTGGCAGATTTTGCTACCTTGGTTGTGATCTGTCGAACACTCTTACTATAGAGACGACGTAATTGCAAGGCTAGCGAAGGCAGGGGATGCATTTGGAAAATTGAACAGACGGCTGTAGGATCTCTGTGAACCAAGGTTGCTGTTTACAGAGCAGTCGTGTTATTTATTTATTTTATTTTATTTATTTCAAAACATTTGTACAGCGTAAATTAAATAAAAAAATTTAAAAGCGCTACTTTGTAGTTACACAAATAAACAATTGAGTACATGCACGGAAAGATAAACAATCATTGATTACAAATCAGAGCTGTAAATGTCCGTCAATGCATACAATGTT